GGGAAAGATGTTTTTCATATCTTTTATAGTTCAACAAGGTTGTTTCTTTCGCTTATTTTCTAATTTAACTATCTGTAGTTGAAGATTTATTTCATTGTGAGAGGGAGACATTGAAACTGATTGCAGTTTTTAGTTTGAAGTAAGATCTGCAAATTATTGATTGGCATGAAGATGTTTATAATAAGATGTAATAGTTCAATGTTGAATAGGTAGAATAACGGACATGGTGTTATAGAATTAAGAGATATAAAAGTTGAGATTTTCTAGGCCTAATCTGAACAAAAATGTTCTTTGTACCTTGGTCATTTAAAAGTTTGGATTGTTGTTAATTCATTTTAGATATATAACTTGGGATCTGTTTGTTTATATACGAATACTTGATTTAGTAAATTAATAAGTACTTTTAGGAATAATATAATTCAAATAATATTTTGCTAGTTGTTTTTTCTGAACCTTGCTGAATTCGATCTGCTTTCTCATTGAGATCAGAGTATTACAGTTTTGGAGAACATGTAAAGATTAATCGTTTTTGAATCATAAAATCTGGACCTTTTTTTCTAAAAAGTAGATATCTTAGATAATCGAATTATGAAATTGATTAAAATATATCAATTTTCATTGCTTTCTGTTCTTAATGTGCTCTAACCTAAGGAATTATCATATTCATCTAAAACTAGATAAAAAATCCCTTAGAAAAGTTTGTTACTTTTATTTTCTTTTTCTTCATCTAAATTCTTCAATTCATCAAACAATAGGTAAAAATAATTTCGAGGACTTCTGTGGCACTTTTATGGCAGGACAAAATTTCGTACTTAATTTTACATATCATCGGATCTATGAGACAAATAAAAAAATCTTACGGTATCTTTAGCAAAAGGAATAGCCAACTCTCAGTAGCTCTTATTCCCTCTAAATCCACAGATCCTTACTTTATTTCCCATTGTAAGACTCAAACCAATAGTTACCTGTAGTATCAAAATTAAACCACAAAATAACTCTTCCAAATTGGAAAAACCTGCAATCCCATCAGAACTCTTTTCTAACAACCACAGGCGAACAATTGACAATATTTACCAATGGACGAGACCGAAACAGACGTGACTGGCTGCCGTGTTGATTGTCCTGACAAATTGGTAGTGGTTACCGCGATAGCCGTGCCTGGTAAATTAGCACAAGAGGTAATGTTCGTGTTAACACCAGGAGTAGGTGCCGTCGACGCGTTCGTTAGCAAAGCTTTCAGATAACCACTATGAGCAGCCAGGACGCCCTTATGAGCGACGAACTGATGTTCTCCTTCGTTCCCGACTCTGATGACCGTGTCAGGCGGCGACAGAGTCTCTTGAAGTCGCGAATAATTGTCTGCCGAAACGCTGTCACCGAACCAAGCTCTGTATAAACTATACATCGTACGAGTTCAAGCTTGTACAACCAATTTACAAATTTTCGTATCTAGGCATCATCCGGCGTATCCAACAGTAAACATCGAACAGCCTCATTCAACCAGACTTGGCGAAGTCCTCAAAACTGATCAGAGCTATCCACCAAGAAATCGAGTCATCTTTCGACAGTTTCATCCCTTGATTTACCCTCGATCAGTGCAACTCTCACTATGATCCCACGAGGTCACAAAGCAATCCAGCCAACCACATGTTAGCTAGCGAACGTTATCCATCAGCTCGTTCACCGATCATCCTTCGATCGAATTAATTGTCCAACTTGAAGCAAAGCCAACCCTTCCGCGAGCAAATCAAATTCGTGTCCGACGTTGTACGGTTAATCGACGATCGACAATGAACGCGGAGTCGAAGGCTAACCAGCGTGTGTCGCGATTGCTTGTGATTTGAACGCCGGGAGTCGGTCTCGGTGGCGTCGTCGCGCCACCACCGTGAACGTCACAGGCGTAGATTCGCTTTTTCGACCAGTTTCTACCGCCCTTCGGCTTTCCTCCTCCGGAAGGCAGCTATCAGCCAGTCGCCGTGCAGCGCACTCCAACCCCTATCCGACAGAGAACCGCCCCCGACGAGTGGAGATTGGTGGTGCTGGCTCGATTACGGCAGGGTTGCACGTGCGCCTGGTATATTTACCGTGTCGAGGATTGTAGGAAGCCTCTTTCTTCTCTTCGTCTTCCCCTCTCACGTATCCTACGTCTCTGCTTGCTCTTCCTCTTCCTCCTATCGCTCACTGGCTCGTTTCGTTCGCTTCTTCTTTCTCTTTAGCTCGGCTTGCCACTCTCCCTACTCGTATCTCGTATTCTGTCTTTCCTTCTGCTTCTTTTTTTTCAGTTTCTGTTTATCATTTTTCTTCCTCGTTTTTGCTTTTTGGCCGAATGCTGTTAGCTGGTAGTTGCATCGAAAGGGAAAAATGGAAATAGACGGGAATGGTAAGAGCGAGAGAAAGAGAGAACGAGAAAAAAGCATGAAGAACGGGGAGAGAATTATCTCGCGGCCACGATTCGACTCGCGCGAGAATGGAAGCTTTTGTTTTTCCTTCCTGCCACCCCCGTACTTGTGGGCTATGATCGACGTACCCCTATTCGCTCCCTGTCTCGCTCGCACTCACGCTGCATCGAATTCTGGTAAAAAAAGATGAAAGGAAGCCGATCGGATTGTTGATTCAATTAGTCCTACGAATATCGCTGTGGTTGTTTTTTGTTGTTAGGAGGGCCGGCTGGTTGTTGGACGTGATGTTTAGTGGATGGATCGAGGGAGAGTCTTTTAGGCTGTGAATTGAGTTTCGGTTGAATATACGTTAGTCTACCTTTTGGTTCTAACTTGTTAGGAGTCTGTTGTTAATTTTCTTACTAAATGGAAGTTATTAATGCAGGTATCAATGGTAATTTACTATATATCGATGGAATTTCTAGTAAGGAATTCTGTGAGATAACAGAATTGATAATTGAGTTGATTCTCTATTTTTTTTTTTTTTTTCGGGTGGGAGGCAGGTAAATTTGATAGAGTTTGATAATGAAACGTGTACTATACCAGTACTCAAAGGAATTTTCAAACTCGATTTTCTTGGAAACAAAATTTTAAACTATAAAATATGTTATCCTTTTCCTTTGAACTTTTGCACGTAGAGTGATCCCCTGGTTTTGCTTTTGTTGGAAATTGATGGATTAAAGCAAAAACTAGTTTTATGGAATATTTTATTCGCATAAGATCCTTGAAATTATTCGAAATGGCTATTTTTTCAGATGCATATTCTAGTCAATTTGTTATTACAATTTCTATAGACATTTTTCTACTTTCCCCTGCCTTCAGTATTTCGATATTGTAGCGAGGTTTATAGCACACTATGTTCCAAAAATATTCGCTATAACTCCTGATGATAAATAAATAAGTCTTTCTTTTTTGTCAGTTGGTTTTAAAAGATTGAAACTCTTCGCCACTTGGTACACCCCAAAACTATTTAAAATAAATTTTATCGCTCCACCTTAATTGTCACACTTATTAAATTCTTTCGTGTGTTACTTTTGCAATTAAATAAAAAACCAAACAATTTTGTCTTGTTTGAAAAGAATCATATTTGGAGTGACAAAAAGGAATCTAAAAAGCTTAATAAATTAGCAAACTGAAGAATATGATTTATAGCTAATAAATTCGGTAGAAACTTTGTTCATAGCCATTTCTTCAACGTAATAGTTTTCAGCTACGCTTTGACTGTTTTGCACGAAATCGATAGAACAAACGAAAATTCCCATTAAAGTGTACACACGGAATATTTGATGATCGTAGCCGAGGATTTCGGAATATTTCCATATCGTTATCGCTGTTTCATCTGGACTCGGTCATAATTTAATTACGATCTCTCCTTGAAATGTTTCCCTTTTAATGAAACCTTCGTTCATCATATTAACGATGATGCTTGTACCATTCGTCTACGTTCTTAATCACATATGGATTGGTTATGAATTAACTGACAAGATAAACAGTAATTTCATGTAATAGAAAACGATCAATTGTATTGTTACTCTCCAATTACATTTGCTATTTGATTTTGTGGATAGACATGATTGAAATTGGTCCCTTGCGAATCGTAAGGATGGATCAATTCTATTTTGGAGGAATTTTACTGATTTTCAAGTTCTAAGAAGATATTAAGGAAAATAATATATTTGTTCCTTTGGATTCCTGAAATTATTTTTTACTTTGGTATTTTGAGATTTAGGAAATGATACTTTTTTAGCACTTAGTTGTATTAATAGTAGAATTACTAATCTGTAGTGAATATTTAATTACACAGGTGTGGTATAGTGAAAATGAATAGAGATACATAATATGTATATATTTAATAAAAGTTAATGTTAATTTTGTTTAAAAAAGCACATATTTTTAATAATTGCAAAAGCAAAAATTCGAAACCAGTCATTTTGACTGCTTTAATAGTTCTAATGTTGAATAAGTAGATATTAGGTATTTCTTCTTTATTAGACTGTAGTAGTACTTGATTTGGAAATATTTATAGTTTTCCACAGATGTGTTCCCTTTTTTCTTTTTAATTAATTAATGAAGTTTCAACTTCATTTTTGTCCTTGTTTATATTAGGAGTCTTTAATCAAATAAAAGTTAACACTTTATCAACTGTAATGAGAGTATAATTTAATGGAATTAAGATAATTTTCTCTTTTGTTAAAAGAGAAAATTGATGAAAAAGAATAAGAGGAATAAAGTATAAAATAAAGAAATAATAAGAAAAAAAAATCAAAGAGTCTGCCAAACAACACAAAAGAACGACTCAAAGGAAAATATACACTTTTGAACAACCAGAGCAATACCCACGAAAAAACCCTCTGTCGAATCTAGAAATTCCTCTCTGTATCATACCTTGTGACTGTCCAAAAATTACCGAGACACGTGAAACACTCATCGTGCTCGTCGAGGACAAGGACGGCAAACAAGGAGGATAATACACAATAAAAAAGAAGAAAAAAGGAAAAAAGGAGATAAAAGAAGGACAAACCGTGACCAGGACGGTTTAGCACGGTTGACGGTGATTAGAGTACCTTCAAAGTCGAAAAGCTAGATGAAGAGCTGCGTGTACTCCTCGAGAACGGTCTTTCCAGGATGCGTCTTTTGCCTGTTCCCCTTTCTCCCTTTCTGTCTTTCTCTTTCCTTGTTTCACCCTCTCGTTTCCTCTATCTGCTAGCTCTCTGATGTTTTTCATCAAATTAACTCGCGGTACGAGTACTCTTTCTCCGCGGTGTTTGCATAATATCGTTTATAATTCAGGTTGCGCTGAATTCCACTTTATTCCGCCTGGTGGCCCGTATACGTACAGGTCGCTCGTTTGCTCACTCTCTTCGCTTTTTCGACCCTCGGCCACCCTTCTATCGGTAGAACTGTCTTACTCTTTCTTTCTGTACACGGTGTCCCAGGATTTTCCGGCCAGGTCTCGTTATTATCATTTGTGAATCGCAAATGGGAGAGAGAATGGTGTCTGGATGGTAGGGTGTCCTCGCTTGGAGATCAGGGGACATTGGATTTAACAGAAGATTTTAATAGGATGTTTTCCTTGGGATTGGTTTATTGTAGGATTTCAAAAACACAGATTGCAAAAGAAATTTATTGATTTGTAATTAGATTTTTGGAGATGAATTTTGTATTTTACCTTCTTCTTTCATTTTTTTAAGTTTGTATATCGGCATTTTTTAATTTTTTAATTTTATTTGCGATGGGAATTTTTAGTGGTCATTAATGAGGCATTCAGAGACTTGTGATTGGGAATGTAATTAACCCTTTAATTATTGTAATTTTAGAGTAATTCTTGCATATATCGAGTTAGTATAATATTTGGTAAACATTGTTCTGGAATTTTTAGATTTAACGTTTTCGTAATAATTTTTGTGGCCAAATTTTGAGTAAATGTCAGGATTAAAGTGCTATTATTATTTTATACTAGTGGAAGATTGATGGTCTATTTATTTATATATTTTATTATATAGATTTTTATTACTGTACTACTCCCTTCGTATCTCTTGTTTTTCTAGTAACATTTTTATCGCATTTCACATACTCTAGTTTATGCAATTTGTTCATTAATTTACTTATTGAATAAAAATTCATAGGATATACTTTAATTCTCAAAAATTTATCTTTTTGCTAATTAATTGTTTCGTATTATTTATGAATGTTGTCTTCTATTTTCAATATTTTTAAAATAAAATAATTCAACATTAGATAGAGATTTACTATAATCAATCTAATAAATTTCTCAATTCTATTTGTCAAATCTTGAAAGAAAAATTCTCTGTATATGCTTCCTTTTCTTTCTTCCTATCGCGTTTTTTCGTGAAACTATCTGGAAATAAGCGTCTCTTTCCCATTCGAAAGGAGAACAGCCTGTGTATGGAAACTTGTACGTGCTTCCGGGCAAATATAAGGATATATTTTCATATCGTGAAAAGAC